CTATTGGTCCTGAAGGGATCAAATGCCCTGGATTCCCTGTGGATAAACTGCTACTTTATAAGAATAAACAAGATAAAATGTCTAAGAAAATTCTGCCAAAATATGTTAATTAGGGTAGTTCCCCCCACCCCCACCTCCAAAATTCTGCTCCCCTTGAGTCTGTTCCCACCGTCGGCGTCCTTCGAGGACAGAGCAGACGGGCTTTTCTGTCACCTAACAGAGGCAGACCACATGCCTACAGAAACACGCAGTGCTATAGTGTTTTACCAGAATAATATCTGCAACAACAGAATGGCAAAGCAATAGTCACCCCCAAATCAATCAAGGTATAATGTATGTAGTTTGAGATGAAGAAGACATCGTATTACTTCCTCTGAGACAGTGAATGCTGTACTGAGTGAGACGGGAACAAACAACCTGTCGTGTTAAGGGGAATTTAGGTTTGCTTATTACTTTATGATATATATTATTTATGATATATATTTTTATATATATTATTATTTATTATATATATAGCCTGAAAGAGATTCCAAATGGATTAGAAAACCCGGTGCTTTATTAAAAATTTAAAACTAGAGAGTAAAATGAGTGATGTAGGAATAAAGCAAAAGTAGAATATGGACAGGGCTGCGTCTATCCACATTTTACATTTATTTTATTAAAAATGGTGAATAATATCTAACTCTCAAGTAGTTTATTTTGAAACAAAAGTAATTTCTTTTAAATCATTTTATTGGGGTATACAGCTCTTATCACAATCCATACGTACATCCATTGTGTCAAGCACATTTGTACATATGTTGCCATCATCATTTTCAAAACATTTTCTTTCTACTTGAGTCCTTGGTAGCAGAAAATTTCTCCCTTCCCCTACTCTACTTCCCTCATGAACCCTTGATAAGTTAAAAATCGGTATTATTTTTTCATATCTTACACTGACCGATGTCTCCCTTCACCCACTTTTCTGTTGTCCGTCCCTCTGGAAGGGGGTTATATGTAGATCACTGTGGTCAGTTTCCCCTTTCTCCCCCTACCTTCCCCTTATCCTCCTGGTATCGCTACTCTCATTATTGGTCCTAAGGGGTTATCTGTCCTGGATTCCCTGTGTTTCCAGCTCTTATCTGTACCCACATGCTCTGGTCTAGCCAGATTTGTAACATAGAATTGGACATTGGGGTCATGATAGTGGGGGAGAGGGAGCATTCAAGAACTAGAGGAAAGTGGTATGTTTCATCAGTGCTATACTGCACCCTGGCTGGCTTGTCCCTTCCTTGTGACCCTTCTGTGAGGTGATGTCCAGTTGTCTACAGATGGGCTTTGGGTCTCCACTCCACACTCCCCCTCATTCACATTGATAGGATTTTTTTTACAAAAGTAATTATTTACAGAGCTCATAAAAATTGAGATGAAAATCAGAATGGATTGAGAATTTGAATACACAATTCATAAAATTGGATAAATAGTAAAGAAACATGATAAAGTGATTTGGTCCCCCAAAATAAAAAAGATGCTAAATAGTAAAATATTTACCAGAACCTCAATTATAAAGTTTATAGAGATGGTTGTGAAAAACAATCATGCAACAGGTCAAACCAAAAACTAAACTCACTGCTGTCCGGTCAGTGCCAGCTCATTGCAACCCTGTAGGACTGGGTAGAACCGCCCCTGTGGGTTTCTGAGCCTCTCCCCCTTTTTTTTTTTTTCCCCCTCCTTCCCCGCTCCCCCATCGAGCCTCTCACTCTTATGGACAAAGAAGGCCTTGGCTTTCTCCCTCAGCGTGACTGGTGGCTTCAAACTGCTGACCTTTCAGTTCGCCACCCAATGCCACCAGGGGTCCTTAGATCACAGACAGAGGTTAATTTTTTTTTTCAACAAATGTTGAAGACTAACCAGTATTAGTACTAGATGAAAGCAAAATGACTAATTAATATAGTCATTCCTCGCTATCGATAGCCCATAACCTAGTTATTTCACTGATTAAATAAACTGTGTTGCTTCCACTTGATGAAATATTAAGGTTAAAACTTGTGATATATAGTTATTTGTACTTGGAAAGTATTTTCTAGTAGAACACTGGTCAGCTGATTAATGGTGGAGAAAAATTACCCTGTCATTAAATAGTTTGAAATTACTACCTGGATGACAGTGGTTGGTGAAGTGATATTTTTACCTAAGAAACCATATTTGTCTACATGTATATTTGTACATGTATGTATGTTGGACTGCTGTTAGCCATAAAAAAAATCCCACCAAACGCTCCACGGGAGAAAGATGAGGTTTTCTGCCCCTGTGAAGATTTATAGCCTAAAAGCCTTACATGGGGTTCCTGTGAGTGGAGCTAAGTTGATGGCAGTGGGTTTGACTTGTGGGTTCTACAAACACGAGCGGGCTAACCTCTGAGCTGCTAGCCACAGGTCAGCTGTTAGAATCCACTGGTCACTTGGCGGGAGAAAGACAGAAAGATTTCATTTCAGAAACCCGAGCGTGGCAGTTCAAAATTGACCCTACGGCTGTGAGTTTGAGTCTTAGCACACGTACGCATTACTGTTCAAGTGGTATACTTAAATATTGTTCATTTTATTGCATGTAAGTTATCCCTCAAATACTTTTTCAACAGGAAAAAGTTTAAGACCTAGAAATAGGAAATTATTGAAGAAGAAAAAATGAAGATTCTGCTAGTAGCCTGGTGATAGGAGAGTAATCATCTTTTTTTGACTACCACAAAATACAGATTAAAAATTGTTTTTTTTAATTTTTTTAAAATATATAGTAAAGTATGTTTAAAACACGTGTGTGCTGAAATCAATCAATCTAGTGATTCATCTCTAAAAGGAATATACAGAGATCAGGGAATTGTGTGATTCTTCTCCAAAAGGGAATATTTCTTTTACTGCTTTCATTCTGCCTGTATATTTGGTCATATTCTTAAATATTACTTAGAAACTAATTATTTTATTCTAAAATATATACATCAATATTATCAAAAATCTATCCGAACCACATTCACTGTGTCAGTTCTAGTGTTTCCTGAGGGAGCCATGTGGAGGTCTATAAAAGCATGCAATTTATAGACCTGATGCCCAGGAGCTTAAAGGAGGTCACTAGAAATTGTGGAAGCTGTCACGGGGAGTTTGGGAATATGCACACGGTACTGAGCTCTGCTGTCACTAGGCTAAATGCCCTTTTTTGTGGATCCTACAAAAAAATTGTTCACTCTCCCTGTGTGGTTGTTCTTTTTTATACTTGCTTAAAAACTTGCTAAAAATAGCTTTCCTTCCCTGGATTAAACCTGTGTTCACACTCTAGTGAGTTCTCTCCTGAATTTCTATGCTTTGAGACATGATCCGTTTCCCTAGTCAGTTGCCCGGGGCCTGGGAAAGAATCCTTACTTGGTAATAATTGCCCTCTGAACTATGCTCTTAACTCTGCAAAGCAATCCTAGAGGAATGTGGAAATATAACCATTGGGCTTTAGTACATCAATGATCATTCGAGACTTTTGACGCAGAGCAGGAAAAATACGGTAACACCCGGAAATATGCTATTAGGGCTGGCCACCCTCATGCCCACCGTGTTTTCTTTCTTTTGTCACCTGGAATGATCTGGCCTGATAACCCCACCTCCCCATCACCCCTTACATTCAGGAGTCTGTGGACGTATCGGTTCCTCAGAGAGGTCTCCCTCAGTCACTCTCAGTCAAACAGTACTTGATGCCACCTAAGTATGTAATGCCACCTTGCTTTGTACGGCATTTTAATAGCAACTAGAAATCCTAGGTAAGTATATCTTTCTTGAAGTAATTTTTATTATGTATCTTCCATAGAATGCAGACTCAATGAGAGCAGGCCACAGGGCCTAGAACAAAATTAGCATATAATATGTGCCCATGACAAAAGGCATATTAGGGCATGGGTAATTGTAGGCATGACATATTCAGTATTTTTAAATTGTGGTCAAGTTCATCTAAAGTCATGAATTACACATTGGGAAGACTGGTAGCCGTCTTGAGAGAAACAATGGGAACGTATTTGATGCAACCTGGTGAATAGTGACTATTTCTTGTGTGATTTTCAAGGTGGTGGATCTTCTAGTATCCATGTGTCGATCTGCGTTGGAATCTCCTAGGAAAGTTGTCATTTTCGAGCCATATCCTTCTGTAGTAGATCCTAATGATCCTCAGATGCTGGCCTTCAACCCCAGGGTAAGGAATGATCCAAGCACATCAAAAGTCCTTCAGGTATTTTTCTCTTTGGGTCTGTTTTTCTGTTTTTTGGGTCCAGACCTCTACCTCAGCAACCAGACCTATGACCTGGCCTGGACGCTGTAGGCCACTTAGTCAGTAGGACTTGGTTTTAGCAAACTTTATCTGCACCAACCTTCAGTCTTGGACACCAACCCAGCACTGCCCTGCTCCTATTCTCTATTAAAATCATTTACAGAACTTTATTCTCATGAAGCCAGGCCCAATCTCTCCAAGTTCCGATTTGGACACATCCTATCCTCATGACAAGTAGGCAGGTGACCGTATCAAATTGGTTTGTATGGTGGTCACCAGGATTATTTTCACTTTGTTGTCCAGTTTAGGTCTTCTGCTTTTCGTGACCTCATTGTAATTTTAAGGAGCCTCGTAAAGGAGGCCCTCTGTCCTTCTTAATTTGCATTTCTTACCCCTTTGCTTCACTGCCACCCCACCCCCATAGTTTTCTGAACAAAGTGGAAGTTGAATTGGCCGTCAACTGGCACTTCAGAAGAAAACAATTTTATAAATAACCATGGAGAGTAAACAAGTTCCATGTGAAATAGACATTTCAAATTGTGCCAATGCTAAAGTGGTTTTGGTGCCGTCTCAACAATTATAGCATTGTTAACTATGTAAAATGTTCTTTGGAAACTTTGCCTTCATAATTTGTATATGTGCACATGATTCTGCTTAGAAACCAGTCATCCATTGAATGTAAGGTATCATTTACATATTTGTCAGGCCTCCTCTTCTAGTAACAGTCTGCCAATCAAGAGAAAAATGAAAGCAAAATAAAATTGTGTTATTTAGAGTGACTTTTTATAACTCAGTATGCTTATTTTATTTGTCTTGTCTTGGGATGTATGAGAGGAATGTGGGAACGAGGCGCTTGCTATCTACTTTGTATTTGTAGCGTTAGTTCCCCCTCCCCTGGCTTCTGACCTAGGTATATATCCTCTGCCCTCGAGCCCTCTTTGTCAGTCTCCCATGGTACGCACACAAGAGTCGTCACTCTCAAATCTCCTTTGATGGAAACTTATATGTAGGTTCTCTTAGGATACTCAGGCTTCCAGATGTTTATAAATGAACACTTTTTTCCGTATTTCAAACAGAAAAAGAACTACGACCGAGTAATGAAAGCATTGGATAGCATAACGTCTATTAGGGAGATGACGCAAGTGAGTATATCATTTTTGGTCTTATACAATGCAATTTCACTTGAGTAAAAGCATATTTTAAAAATGACTGGGGGTGCTGGCCCTGTAGTAAAATTTCTATTTTTTATTATGTCACATGGGTATGAAATTTAAAAAGCCACTGTATGAAAACATTTGAATTTTATGCCACTGTGACTTTTGGAAAATGAATTTACCATTGTAATCGTGATGTTCTGTTCTTAAAGTCAGCAGAAGCCTTGAGTGTTTGAAAATAAGTTAGGGGCTGTTTGATTTGAAAGAGAGCCAAGGTTACCATGTTCCTAGAAAGTTTATTTGATTAATGGTAGTAATTCCAAGACGTTATTTTTAAGTTAGAATAAGAACGGAAATGTTCTATAAAATGCAAATATTGCATAAATATTTTTGATGGAACACAGACTCTCAAAACATCCCTGGAAGGCCCCAAATCCCCTGAGTTGGTGAGTTTACATTTTATCCACTAGTGAGGGCTGTGGTGGGAAAGTTTGACGAGCAAGGATAAGGACTGATGATAGAAGTCCGGAACATCACTGGGCTGTCGTCCAGTCCAGCCTGGAGAAGCACATGCTGTGGAGTTGTGGACGACTCTCCATGGCGGCACACTGCAGACATTGTAAGCAGAGATTAGTAAATGTCAATTAAAAATGGATGTCACCACAGGTTGTGCGTGTCGTATGTGGTGGTTTCAGGACATGCCCTATTCCCAGAGATACTGGGCGTCTTATAATAAGTATCATCCTTTCTCTGCAGAAGTGAATAGGGGAATCCTTTCTCCCAAGGACCCGCCAAGCTCCTGTTCCCCTCCCTCCCCGTCTGTCTACCTTGTGATCTTCGTTTCACTCTCATCCAACCCCAAAGGCCTCTTTCCTTAAGTATAGAACATCCGACCCACCTACCTCCCACCCCCACCCCTCACCTCCGATAAATCGATGTAGAGAAGACATCTGGTTTTAGTTCTTAGCAAAAAAAAAACCCATCTCTACTTGTGTCTTTGAACACAGTGCTCCAGAAGCGCATTTCTCAATTCTCCTCGCTGCACACCTGTGCTCTTCTGACACGTGTCACTCACCGTCCCGGCCCCAACTCTCGTCCCTGACATTTCTGACTGCTGTGACTTTGGTGCCTGCTTCTTTTGAAAGCTTGCTCCACAGGGAGCATGGAGCTGACACCCAACTAGCCTTGTAGAGCGCAGTGAAGAGGGACGCACACATGTCTTTAGATAATCAATTGGTTCATATATATTTAAAATATCCGTCAGTCATCAAATAGGATTAGCACCTCCAAATTTTCAACAATGGTAAAAACAAGAAGAAACTTCCATTCAAAGGGCACATTTTTTGCTTAAAACCCACCATTCCATCTGAATGTTTTTCTGTGCTCACACCTTTTGTATCCTTTGAATGATTTTCCTTATAGCCATTATTACTTGTATGCAAAGAAGACAATCAAATGCAGTTCCACTGGAGGAGGGAACAAAAACCAGTACCTACTGCAGTGCTATACAGAAAGTTATGCTAATATTTCTAGTGATGAAAAACACTGGCTTAGTGTATTTATACTACACCCTCAACCCCTGATCATTCTTGGTTTTATAAATAGCTACAAACTCAAACTCTGGGATCCGCGCTCTGCCAAAATTGCTTCCTATAAAATTCTGGGTCATGTGTAAGCTATTTTAATAGACAATGTAGAAGGCTGAGCATCAGCCTAGAAAGTTAGAGACCAGCATTACATAACTGGCTCATCAATGATGTTCCTCTGACCTTGAGCAAGTTTGCTAAATGGTTTGCTTCCTCATTGTTGTTCTGCCAAGATGAAAACAGTCACCCCGCATCCTCTTTCACTCAGTACGTCATAGGAATGTTTTGGGGTTTCATTGCATCAAATCCTATAAAACTCCCCAAATAAATAAAGAGTTTTATCCCATCTCCTGTTTTCTAGAATATACTGCCCTATAGATATACCTGCATTGTCACAGAGATGGAAATGGTTAATTGCCTGGGTCAGTTCTTCATAGAGAAAATTTATTTTGGTCCAATTTTCTCATGTAGAAATGTACTCCTATGTAAATAGCCTTGCATTTGAGCTTGAGTAACTATCACACATTTTCTTTTAATACTAATCAGAAGTTTATAAAGTGGTCATCTTGAGGGGAAATGACTAAGGCAGTTGTTGCTGTTTTCTCATGTCAAAGCTGAACATGTTCATGTTTCAGTAGAGTAATAAGCATACTATTAAGCCTGATATTTCATTTTAAAATGTATTTCTAATTCAAATCAATAACTATAATGGCTTTTTCCCCCTAGGCACCATATCTAGAAATCAAGAAGCAGATGGATAAACAGGATCCCCTTGCTCATCCCCTGCTGCAATGGTATACATTTTTAGTTTTCCTCTTAATGAAAACAGAGCACAGTTTTCTGCTGCCTGCTGTAAGGAAAAAAAACAAAAGCCTATTTTACAAGGCCTTCCATGCTGCAGTTCCTCTACAAGCTTATGAGGCCTGGAAATTTTATAATCTAGGAATCTTTAATGACTCGTTTAATTAGAACTTGTAAATCAAAAGAGGGAGAAGATGCTGTCACATGCACTGTGTGCATATACAATACAATACAATCTGATTTGACAGCAGTGTGTCTCTAATTTTAAAATATGTGACTAACTGGCTTAGGTGGTATTTTGGTTCATTTCATTTTCTAGTTAAATGAGTTCTAAGTGGGAAAATTCGTTGTTTCAACCCTTATGATTGAAATCTTATCAAAATTGCCTATTTTACCTTATTAAAAAGAACAGAGCAAACTTGATGAAGTCTAGCACAGGCTGAAGAAGGAAGAGTAGACTGATGATAGGAGAGGGGGGACCTGAGAACTCATCTTTCTATCAACTCTACTTCCAATCATTCATCCTCTTACATCCCTTTTGCAAACTGAAGACAATAGTGTCTACTGAGCATGCCATATAGCAGCTTCACAGGCATGTCTCTTAGAAAGCACTTGGAGAACTCTCGAAGGCAGTAGCATTGACCACCCTGCTGTGGAGTGATGCAGATAGATGACTGGTCTACATGACTGCTTACTCCATGGCACAAACAGAAAGTTGTTTTAAAGATGTGAAGATGAGCCAAGAAAAAGGCGTCTGACTCCCTCAAGATCCTGATTCCTGAAATACTGGTTAGTCCAAATGTCACAGGACACATTCTTAAATGGAGGTGTAGAAGCCTTTTGTTGTAGCTTTTGTGCCTCTCTAGGATTCTTAAAATTAACTCAAATAGCACTTTAGTTTTTATTTTACCCATTCAAATTCTTGCAATCAGTCATATTCAAAATGAGAGGTAAAACTCTCCAATATCTAATCTATTATTTTGCTATTTTGTTTCTCCATTGTTAAACCTGGCTTTTAACTTTGACTTACTGTGATTGTTTCCCTCAGCTGTATAGTTGCTCTTCTTCAAGTAGGAAAACATTTACCAAAATATTTTACAGTTTTCCTTAGCCTTGAAAAGCATAGAATATTTCACGTTTTAATATACTGGAACTTTATTTTTTTTTCAGCTTCAGCATTTGTGTTGAATAATAATAATTTGCATGCACTGTATCTACAACCAAAAGATGTCTTCAAATATTACAAGAATAAAAATCTTCATAAGAATGTATTTTAAATTACGCAGTGTTGGATACATTAGTCAGTATCCAAAACCTGTATTTAGATTCGTTTCATTTGAAATTATGTGCAGAAATGTTCATTTGAGCAGTATTTGGGGACTTAGTGATTATTAAGAATGATTATTTTTCTTAAACCTTAAGGGTTTCAACAGATTTCAGTGTTTCTCAGATTAAAAAACTTTCTTCTTTTTTGTGGTTGTTGTTTTTGTTGGGGAAAGTCTTAAATTCTCTCAGGGAAACAACAAAAGAAGTATGAGATTAAACAGAATTCTGACAGAATTTCATTTACGAAATAGCAAAAATAAGCTTCAATCACTTTCCAACTAAGAAAACAAACTTTAAGTCTAGTTGGCATATATTTGTGACTGGCGGATTATTTTCATTTCAGGGTTATTTCGAGTAACAGGTCACATATTGTGAAGCTCCCAGTTAACAGGGTAAGTTGGTTTTTGCACCTATGAAAAAGAGCAGTTAGACGTGGGAGAATACGGATCCATTCATGGAACGGACTCGGAGCTTTTTTAGTTAGCCGCTCCTCCAGACATGTGGTAGACAGCTATACAAGTCCAATTCTTCGGTTTGAAGTTGCCATTTGTGCAGCAGCTCCAGGCCTTTCCAGTATGTTCAGCTCAAATTCATGCTGCTGCCCTTTAAGGAAATAAGAGTCGGTATGAGAGCAGTTAGTTACCCACAAGTGATAGAAAGTATATTATTTGGAGAGGGACCAGTAGAAAGTTAATGTAGTTTTATCATGGTTCGTTTCATTTTTGCCCATCTCGATTTCGATATCTGAGAAGGTAATGTCTTCAGATACCTACTTATCAGTTTATGAAGCTTCCCTTTAAAAAAGAGAACCTAATGGAATTCTCAGGTCAATTCTCCTCATGATCTGAGGGCAGTATCTCTACATTGTGAGACCCCAAAGATTGCATGATTACTCTGCTGAGAAGTGAATGGATGTCTCAAAGTCTGTTCCTAGTTGACGGGAAGGGAATCATTAGGAAATTTCATCCAGCAACTATTTCAGAGAGTTCTCTTCGCTGTCTTTCCCTAACCAATGAGAAGCTGCTAATGGAACATACCCAATTTCCAGTTTCATAAATATATGTAACTAAAGCTTAATGATGATAATTTTTTTTCAATTTTAAAATCTTGAACCAACCATTCTATTTTGCTTAGCCAACTTTGAATATTTCCTCAGTTGAGTAGTAAGTGTATACTTAAGGGATTCAGTAATAACGATTCAAAAAGAAATGTAATTATGAGGGCAGATGTGCTTGAATGTGATTACCTAGTTGATTCTAGAACGAAATACAAATGACTTTGGATTGTATTTTTGTTTGCTTGTTTGTTTTCAGTGTCTGTGAATTGTACCACTACTGACATTGACATTGGCTTAACAGTACTATGGGTCATTCTTAAAGCAGTAACACTTGTCATTGTTATCAGCCTGATTCTCTGTTAAGCTTGACCTGTTTTCAGTCGTCCTTATTTTAACCCACAGCAATTGAAATTTATGCATACTCCGCATCAATTCCTCCTCCTCAGCAGTCCACCAGCCAAAGAATCCAATTTTCGAGCTGCTAAAAAACTCTTTGGAAGCACCTTTGCATTTCAGTGAGTATGGCTGCCTGTTGAGGGACTAGCAACAGGCCCCTGGGGATGTGTAGGGAGAACGCGGCAGTTCAGGCTGACCAGTCAGTGGCACCACCCGAAGGCGTCATGACTGCGTAGATTTTATACCACAGCCACTTTGAAAGATGACGGATTGCCTCGTTTCACTTTTCCCCTTTTCTTAGTGGCTCGCACATTGAAAACTGGCACTCCATCCTGAGGAACGGTTTGGTGGTTGCTTCAAATACAAGACTGCAGGTGAGTTTTCCCAGTGCTTGAACCAGACTTCAGTTATTCTTCAGGGTTGCCGTTTGGTCCTTGGTCCTGGTGTTGCATTTTCACTTCCCCAAATGGGAAGAACATGGCCTTTACGAAACACCGTGGAATCTCTACTAAGCACAAGTACCCTATTTGTCCTTATGTAATATAGGATTGAATTGGAAAAGAAAGTCAATTTACCAGATGAAAGGAAAAGTTTAATCATAGGAGAAACAGGGACGTCTACTTTGAACCTAAGTAGAACAAAGTACGTCCTGTACAAAGTACAACTGTGTACGTGTTCTATTGACCATTCCAGTGCTCATGTGTCGAGTACTGCCCGCCCTGGTGGCAAAGTCCAGGGTTAAACTTTAGGCTGCTATCCAGGAGGTCAGCAGTGAGACTCCAGCAGCTGCTGGGAGGGATGAATGTGAGGCAGTCTGCTCCCATAAAGATTTAGAGCCTCAGAAAGCCTGTACAGAGCAGCCCGCTTTAGTTGTTACCAGGTCGCAGTGCTCGCAGTTTGGGATGGTGCCTTAGTGTGAATACTGCCGGAGATGAAAAGAAGAAAGCAAACTGGACATCGATGCCATAGAGCCATCCGCCTGTATCCACCTGGTTTTCCGTCTCCAGTAGAGGACCTGGTCTTAGACGCATCTCATGGGTGCAGTTCTCATTTTTACTTAGACTCTTTACAGCTGGCATTTCTTGTCACTCCCGGGCAGCTGGTTTTACTATGGCAGTATAAAGAGGTCAGGAAATAAGGTTCAGCCTAATCAGCGGCACAGCTATTGTGAGATGCCATCAAGTCAGTTCTGACTCATTGCAACAGAACAGAACACAGCCCGGTCCTGTGGACATCCTCACAATTGTTCTTATGTCTGAACACCTTGTTGCAGTCACCTTCTCAGTCCATGTCTGGGAGTCAGTCTGCCTCTCTCTATACTACCCTTCTACTCTCCTAAGTAATGGTGTCCTTTTCCAGGGACTGGTCCCTCTTGATAGCATGTCCAAAGCGCAGGAGAGGAAGTCTCCTTGTCCCTGATTATAGTCAACATTCTGGCTCTGCTTCTTTTAAGACCGATGTGTTTGTGCTTCTGGTGGTCCCGGTAATTTATATATTCTTACTGAAGTGCTTAGATTCTTCTTCCGTTTTCTCTCTTCATTGTCCAACTTCCACATTCATATGAGGTGATTGAAAATAGCCACGTTTGGGGTCAGATGTACCTTACTTCTGAAAGTGGTATCCTTACTCTAAAGCACTTCAAAAACTTCGTGCACAGGAGATTTGCCCAGTGCAATATGTTCTTTTATTTCTTGAATGCTGCTTCCATGGACATTTGTTGTGGACCAAAACAAGATAAAATCCTTGACAACTTCCATCGTTTCTGTATGTCTCACGATCTTATCTATTGTTCGAGTTCTTAGACTTTGGTTTTCTTTACATTGAATTGTCATCCAGACTGAAGGCTGCATCCCTGTTCGTCATCAGCATGTGTTTCAGTCCTGCTTGCTTTCCGTAAGCAAGGCTGTGCCATCTACATATCGCAGGTTGCCTATAAACATTTCTCCCATTCTCCTACATTCCTTGTTGTGTTTAGATCATTGCTCTGGGCTCATGTACAGGTTCTGCATGAGCGCAATGACCTATTCACAATTCCCACGCTTCTCAGTGTTGCCCATAGTTTTTCATGACCCACACAATCAAATGCATTTGCATAGCCCAAACACACGCACGCGCGCGCGCACACGCACACACACACACACACACACACACCCCTCTTTCTGGTATTCTCTGCTTTCAGCAAGATGCGTCTGACAGCAGCAATGATACCCTTAATCCATGTTTTATTCTGAATCTGGCTTGAATTTCTGAGCGCTCGCTGCCAATGTACTTCTGCAACTATTGTTCAATGATCTTCAGCAAAATTTTACTTGCCTGTGCTATCATCTGATAATTTCAACATCCCGTTGGGTCACCATATTTTGGAATGTGTTCAAAGATGGACACATTCCAGTCAATAGGGCAGGTATCTGTCTCTTAAATTTTTGGCATAAGTGAGTGAGTGTAGTCAGTGCTTCACCAGCCTGTTTGGACATGTCAGTTGGTATCTCATCAATCCCTAGAGCTCAGTTTTCACTAAGGCCTTCAGTGTGGCTGAGGCTTCCTTCAGTACCATTGATCCTTGATCAGATGCTAGCTCTTAAAATGATTGTCAGCTAGTTCTTCAGCTATGATGTTCTTCCTATCATCCCACACCTGTCATTAGTGTTCGATGAGCCAAATATATTCTTGAGATGTTCTTGAAATTCAGGTGAGATATACCTGAGGTCCTATTTGGGCTCTCATGGACTTATTTTAATTTACTTCAGCTTCAACCTGAACTTACATATGAGCAATTGATGGTCTGTTCTGCATTCAGTCACTGGCTTCATTTTGGTTGCTGATACTGAGATTTTCCTTCAACTCTTCCCATTGATGTAGTCACTTTGATTCCTGCGTATTCCATCTGAAGTCGACATGTATAATCGCCATTTATGTTGTTTCTAAAGGCTAGGTGTGATGATCAAGCCATCGATCTTGCAATATTCTATCATGCAATCCCTAGTTTTGTTTCTATCACCAAGGCCATATTTTCCAGCTACTGTGTATTCTTATTTGTTTCCAACTTTCCCGTTCCAATCATCAACAATTATCCATGCATCTTGCCTTCATGTATGATCAATTTCAGTCTGAAGAAGGATTGATAAAATTCTCCAGTTTCTTCATCACTAACTTTAGTGGTTGGTTTGCAACTTTGCATAATTGTTGTTTTAGTTAAAATTTCTTTTAAATATACATGAATTATTACACGCAGCATTGTACTTCAAAACAGATCTGGAATTGCCTTTTTTTGGCAGTACAATGCCATTCCTCTTGATTGTGTTATTCCTGATTCAAAATAGCCAATAACAGTCCATTTCAGCACATGAAAGCCTAATAATTTTCCTAGATACATACTTAGCACATTCCAAGCTCCAGTTATTAATAAGACGCTTGCAGCTGTTTCTTCTCATTTGAGTCTTGCTCCATCAGTAAATGAAAGGCCCCAAAGCTTTACTTCATCCACATCATTATGTTCGACTCTAATTTGAAGCAGTTATTCTTAACTCACATTTTTGCGTTCTGACATGAGAAGTTCATCTCCCATCACTCTGTGACAATGTTCTGCTTCTGTTCAGAAGGTTTTCAGTAAATGTGACAATATTCCACTGCTATTCATAATGTTTTCAGGAGCTAATTCTTCAGAAGTGAAGAGCTTGTTCTTTCTCTGTAGTTTCTTCTGGGTATAGATGGTTCTGTGGAAAGCTGTTCATTTGGGGGCCCCCGTGGTATTTGAAACACCAGTCGTTTCCCTTCCGTCATCAGCATGCAGGCCCCCATTTACAACAAACTGACGGGCAAGTGACGTATCACCTGCACATGATTTTCCAGTAATACGATTCCATGTGTAAACGTCTTTAAATGCACATTTATGGAGCGAGCACTTGGTTCTTACTAATAGGGGACCGGAATTTGTGAATATAGAGATCAAGCAAATGTTATTGCTCTGTGTTGTTTCATAAACGAGTCAAGGCGTTTCAGTTCATAAAACTCTAATTTGGAAAGTTTAGAGGCGGGTAAGAATCAGATGCCAGATAGAGTGCATCGTGAAAAATCTGTGTCCGATGCTTTTTTATATACTAACATGAAAGTTTTGATCAAATTCCCTTCATGGGAATTTCAGTCTTCATCTAAGATAGAGCTGTTGCAGAATTTCCCGTTCATTACAGGAAGAGCGTACTCAGTACCTGAGAATAAGTTCTTCTGTCTGGAGTTCTTTGAAAACCATTCTTCACGGATCCTCCTTCTCTTGCTGTTAGTTTTCATACAGAAACCTACTCTGAATTTTGAGAAAATGGATATTTGTATTATTTTAAAATTAGACCTTGGAGTAAGAGCTTCTTCACTTTCTAACATGAAATAGATTGCCCCTCCCCCTCATGGCACATATTCTTTTGAAACCTTTAATTGACTTCTTCTCTCCTACTTTTTCCATTTTAGCTCCATGGTGCAATGTATGGAAGTGGAATCTACCTTAGCCCAATGTCAAGCATATCATTTGGTTACTCAGGTAATTCTGTATCTTACTGCTAACTTCTACTTGATTTATTTGCAATATTTTTGTTATTTAATAATCTAGGCACAATCTTGTGTCAAGTGAATGAAGCTTATATGATACATTACACTGCACAAATATCCAGATGAGTTTATATTGCAACCTATAGACTGTAAAACCAGAAACCTTGATAGTGCAACAATGAAATGATCAGAAACTCACAGAAAATCCCGTGCTTGCCGTCACTCCAGCCGTCTGTCGGAGAAAGGAGCTAGCAGTGGGGCTGTCGTCTACAACACCCCATGGAGCAGTTCCAGTTTGTGCCATTGGCTCTCTGCGAAGCAGAAGCAACTCAATGACACACAGTAACGACGTAGCCACTTTCCCTTTTCCGTATTGTCACCGCTCACTTTCTCCTCCCGGTTGGCATAACGTTATGCTATCTGTGGTTTTAGTAAATTAATTATCATGAAAATTACCATTGATGATTGACTAGTGACGTCTTAATATTTCAAAAATTAGAAGTAGAAGAAATAATAATAAGACAGTAGGCAGATAGGTCACAAACATTGACCTGCAATTTTTACCGACAGTTAATTTAACATATAGCCATAATATATTAGATCACAATCTGTTACGGACATGATTGGCCCTGTAAGTATATCTTTTACCATAATATTACTAATACTTCATCACGAAATCTTAATAGTAGAGAAAACTTGGAGGGAAGTGAAAAAAGGGCCTTTAGGGGTGTTTTGATAATATTATGCACTGTAAAAAAAAGTTGAAATAAGGTAAAAGCATGTGCTGAGGGAAGCCTGGTAAATTCAATATATGCAATAAGTGATTACTAAATTAGTAACATTGATTATACTGTATGTGAATAGTGAAATTTGGGATGACTTAATTGTGCTTTTATTTTTGGAATATTTAACAATGTTTTACAATGTAAAAGTAATACAATTAATGTATTCTCCTTAAATACAAAGTAATTTATTCATTGCAAAAAGAATTCAAAAGACCCAGTCTTCTATAAAATAGCAAATGATATTTTCCCTCTTAAAACTTCAAAGTTCAAGGTACTGTTTGTTCACTCACTTGAAGAAAAGCTATATTTGTGTAGATACGCAAGTAGTTGGGTTTATTATTGTGCTTGTGTGCCTGTAAGTCCACTCCCATGAGTGACAGAGAGAAAGAAAAGGACAGACAGAGAGAGATTATATGATTATATCACACAATTTGGCTACTCCATTCATGGAGTAGTGTTTATAGTGTTTCCAAGGCTGCAGATCTTTGCGGGGGCAGACATCCTCTCTTTCCTTCTAAGCAGCAACTGGTAGCTTTTAACACTCACCTGTGGTTAGTAGTCCAATTTTATGCAACAGGGCTACTGAGGCTCTAGCTGACTGTTATGTAGGTCTGTTCTTCCTGTGCCTAAGTTCGTGTTTTTTAAACCATAGCCCATTATTTGTCAGTAATGGGAGGTTAAAATTCAAACACTTAAAACCAGAAATATAATTAGAAATAACAAAAGAGAATGCTAAAAGTAATAAAAACTAAGACTATAAAAACTGAGGAAAAGGAAGCCTTAAAAATGAGAAGTTTGCAAGCTAACAAAATTAAAACTAGAATAAAAGCAATTTTATATATACACAAAAATATGTACACATATACATACATATGTGTATCTTCTGGAGTAACAAATCATAATAAATCAAAAACTAAATCAAATTCATGGCCAGTGAATCTATTCTAACTCGTAGCAATTCTATAGGACCGAGTAGAACTGCCCCTGTGAGTTTCCCGAAACTATAACTCTTTATGGGGGTAAAAAGCCTCATCCTTACCCCAAGGGGTAGTAGGTGGTTTCCAACTACTGACCTCAAGGTTAGCACAATATGTAATCCTCTACACCACTAAGGCTCTTAGAAATCATGATACACAGTTTTATTTTAAGGAAAGATTAAAATTATAAGAGAGCAAACATCTAGATAACTGTCCCAGGTAAGGTGGTTGTACACGGGGCTGCAAAATATTCATGGAAAGATTCCATTAATTTTTAATTATATTGAGAAATCTCTAAATTCTCCCATTTATAATGAAACACTCTATACTTGGTGTGTTAGTCTGGGTAGACTAGAGAAACCAATCCGTGGACACACATATGTGTATAAAAGTTTTAAATGCAAGAGCAATTGAGCATGGAGAAAACATCCCAGCCCAGTTCAGATCAAGTCCTTAAGTCTGATATTAGCCCATATGTCTGATACCAGTCTATAAAGTCCTTTTCAGACTCATGAAACACATGCAATGACACTGAATGTGGAAGATGGCAGGCCAGTGGGTAGAAAGTCTTTGGACCCAGTGGCATTGGAGACATCTCAGCGCTGGCAGGGGTCTCTGTATGGCTTCTGCAGCACCCAGGACTGTGTGGGTCCCTTTGTCTTGTCAGCTGCTATGTCTCCCAGAGTGTGAGCCGAGAGTCTCCCACCTCCAAGGAGGAAATACCGGAATTCCCAGAACCCTTAGGGAAAAGCTATGCCCACACAGAAGCCTCATGGGTTCTGTTTGACAGAACTCTGATTGGCAGATTAGACTCTACCCCTACACGCTTAATCCTTAAATTGACAATTATGTAACTACCACACTTGGACTGTAAAGCAACAATTTTTCTACATGCCTGGATTCTGTGTGTTGTGAATATGTGACATGGGTTGGTTAGGCTTCATGGAAAGCAATGGAGATTCCAAATTGTGAATGATACAAATTTTGTTTATGCATTTTCCTGGGGAGAGAGTGCATAACTTTTGTCACATTCTTGAGGGTCTGTGATCTGAGAAAATTCAAGAATCACTATATTTAGATACAGTAGCTGTTGTAGTTAGTTTTGTGTGCCAATACACTAGGAATTGGAGTGCAGAGATGACCCTAAAAAGTGGTTTTCAGCCTTCCTAACGCCGCGACCCTTTAATACAGTTCCTCATGTTGTGTCCCCCAACCAAAAAATTACTTTCATTGCTCCTTTATGACTGTAATTTTGCTACTGTTATGAATTGAGCGACCCTTGTGAAAGGGTCATTCGACCCCCAAAGGGGTTGCGACCCAGAGGTTCAGAACCTGTGCTCCAAACTGGTAAATTCCAGTTCATGGTGACGCCATGGGTGTCAGAGGAGAACTCGGTTCCATCGGGTGATTTTTGGAGGAGGTAGATCACCAGACTTATTCAGTTGTCAACCTTTCTGTTCCCACCACCCAGAGACAACTCTGCAAACAACTGCACCCCTGTGCTAGCCCACAAAGCCTTCTTGTCTGAAACCAGAGACCTGTTCTCCCACCTAGTTCCTACATCAGCACCTTTTGCGGGAATATCTTGAGTTGGAAGTGGGGTTAGATCCAAGCCATTTGCATCTGTTAATAAGCTTTGCACATTCTCATTAACCCCATTTATTTGAAAGAACAACAACAAAATAGCACTTCTCAACTTCTGATATGATAGTTGGACATTCTTTAAAAAGCATAGATTAAAATAAATGTACCTATTCTAAAACAGAGATTTTAGTTCATTTTTTTGTGAAATATTCCAGAGTAAGAAATCATGGCAATCGATGATCTGCATAGCACCCCCTCCCAGGGGGACGACAACAGAAAAGTGGGTAAAGGGAGACATTTGTCAGTGTAAAAAATGAAATAATAATGATAATCTATAAATTATCAAGGGTTCGTGAGGGAGGAAGGGGGAAAATGAGGAACTGATACCAAGGGCTCAAGTAGAAAGAAAATGTTTTGAAAATCATAAGGCAACAGATGTACAAATGTATGTATGGATTGTGATAAGAATTGTATAAGCCCCCAATAAAATGAATAAAATTGAAAAAGAAATCATGGCATTAACAGAAAAAGCTAAGACTTATAGATAGCACCGGTCAAAGAATTTACTTAGTTTCCATTCATTGGAAGAAACAGTTTATGTTTGAAAGAGAAGTTAATATATGTAAGTAGTTCAAGAAGTTTACATTTCAGTGTCAATATTCTTTAGATATTGTTCATACAAAGGGTAAACACCCTTCCCCTCCCCCCCAAACAGTGGGGGGAAGCTCCCCTGAGCAGAGTGGAACTTGCGTAGTATGCATTTTCCCCACTAGGCGATCGTCAAGCAAGTCATTCTGTTAGTGCACCTTGTGGCATCACCTGGGAAGGTTGTCTCTGGTCACAGTGAATATTTTTGCAAAGCAGTTTCACTCAGACCTCCTTTTTGGTGATGGCTGTTTTAAGAGAACAGCGTGAGGATGTGACATTTTGTTTCCTGCTCGGGAAAAATATCGCACAATCTGTTGTGATGTTGAACAGAGCTTACAAGGACAGCGCTAAGCAGAGTTAGAAGGACAAACTCAAGTATATGACTGGTTTTCTCATTTCCAAAAAGGTGAAATGTTGATTGATGACAAACCTCATTCTGAACATTCTTCAACCTTCCAAATGGACAAACATATCAACTTGTAGTGCATTTGAAGTCCGTTCCACCACACCAGACGGTTAATCAAGCTTTCTAGTTGGAGTTTCTGAAAAGATTGTGTGCAACAAAAAAGGCTTGATTTGTGGCAGGCGGGGAACTGGCACCATGACAATGCACCTGCATATGCAGCCATCTCAGTCTGCCAGTTCTAGGCAGAAGACAGCATGCTGCCCCATGCACCTGACTCCCCTGACCTCCCTCTGTGAGACTCCGTTTGTTTCTGTGAATGGAGAGGGACATGGAAGGACGGCAATTTGACGATGTAGAAGAAGTGAAGAAAAAAACCAGGGAGATGCTGTCACCCATCCAAACAGATGAGTTTGAAAATGTTTCCAAGAATGGAATCGCAAATTTCACAAATGTATTAAGTGTAATGGAGAGTACTTTGAAGATGATGTTTGTTTTATAAAAAAAAAAAAAATTTAAATACATAGCTTTGGGGAAAAAAATCCGTTTGGGGGGGATTACCCCCTCATATGCCCCAACACTTTCCTATTGGCCAAATGAGAAGGAAAATTAGCATCAAAAATCCTTTTAAAATCAAGCTTTAAGGATTTTCTAAATATATCAATTTCATGCAAAAAGTATTTCTTATTCTTGTTTTAATACAAAGGAAAACCAAGGTGGGTTTCTACCTCCTAGCTCCACCTTGAACGCCTAAAGCCCCTGACTTTCAGCCTCAGGTGCCTAGGGACAGCTGACTAGCTGCCTCTTAAGGGGTCCATTTCTACTGTCTCTGACCTCATGCAATCAGATACTTGCCTAAGTAGAACAGTGCTCTGTGAGAGAGAGACTGTTTTAATGGCACCATATAACTTTGCTCTTCAATTATGATTTTGCTAATTTTTCAGGGATGAACAAGAAGCAGAAGGTGCCAGCCAAGGATGAGCCTGCCTCAAGCAGTAAAAGCAGCAATGCATCACAGGTGCTGTAGCGACCCCAGTCATTGTGTATGATTAGTGAGCTGTGGCCTTACTAGACTGCAGGATTTTAATAATTGCTTAGGCTTTGTAAGTGGTCACTTACAAATAAAACTCACCCTAACGTGTAATTTCCAAGTTGCCTCTATTAACTATTTATTGAGCCTACCACTTGCCTAGAGAGTGGGAATACAGCTTAAATCAAACATTGCCAAAAATGTAACTCTTCCTGACTCCTGGATTTCTAGTGAGGCGACATGAATGAAATGGGTATGTGAGCGGGGAGTTGGATGGATAGACAGATGTGCTCTATATGGTGGTAAATGCTATGGAGAACATCTGGGGGAAGATAGAGAATACTGTGGTCGGTGAGGAGGATTAGGGGAGTGATGAACGGTGGGCAGGGAAGGCACAGACAGTGGCAGGTTGTGTGTGAGTCAGGTGGCTCTAGGAGAAGAAACTTCCACATAGAGGAGAGCAAACCCCCGGTCTATGTTGTTTCCGAGAGAACAAGTGTACTCTGGGAGAATGACTAACCTGTCCGATGAACAATGCGGATAAAAACACTTAGTCGACATATTCTTCACCTTTCTAGCCCTCACCTCCAACCCCCCCCCCAAAACATGAGATGCTTCTGAGTCTGTGTGGTTTAGCAATTGATGCTATAAAAATGAGTTGATTTTGGATAGTTAGATGGTCTGGAATAATGATTGTAATATTTGAAAAAGATCATGCAAATTTTGTTTACCTTGAAGTAAAAATGTCATTCAAGATAAATTTGAGCTCTAGTTAATGTTATGAGAAGATGGCGCTCTAATTTAGCATTACTTTTAGTTCAAACATCTTGCGAGTGATTCAGTAATAATCATGTACAGAAATTAAATGATGCAACATATAGCTCAATAGTAAAGGTGCTCCAGCAAAGTATTGCTGAGTGCCACTTGCCTTAGATAAGCTTCCTTCCTTCTTTCCTTCCTTTTTCACTTTCTTTCTTGAAACTGGGTCATTTAGGTGATTTATTTTAAAATCAGTTTTTGAGTGCCCCCTTTCACTCTTTCCGTTCTTTTGGAATTTAGTCACAGAAAAAAGGACAGCAGTCCCAGTTCCTGCAGAGCCGTAACTTAAAATGCATAGCTTTATGTGAAGGTAAGTTGAAAGTTCCGCGATCCTCGTCCTGTTCTGGCTCCATCGGATCTGTACTCGGAGCCCTTAGCTATTCACAGAACAGAATCCCTCTGAGCCCTGTGACCGTGTCTGAGGGCACCAATGGAAAACAAGTGCAACACAGTCCAGAAAGGTGAAAACGAAATCACAGACTTGGCAAGGATCCAAGTGGGGTTAACGATCCCTGGCAGATATTTCAGGATAGTAATTATATCTCTCTGATCTAATAATGCTGTATCACTTTTATTGAATATGCCACCTTCTTCTTTAAGTTGGTGTTTGAGCTTGATACCGTGACAAATCTGAAAAACTGGACCAAGCCCAGAAAGAATAACCCAGGTGGTCTTTCTGTTTCTAGGCTGAAATTATTCTTCCTTTGTGAATTTGGAACAAATTTTTACTTGCAAGGTTATATGTTTTTTTAATCATGCTTTAAAATTTGACTGGGCTAAAAAAAAAAATTCTTCTTTTGTCAAGATTTAATGTTTCCCTATCTCTTATTGTTAATATTTGATAGTTACACATGACATTTAATTGCTTGCTCCGTAGTTCCCCAGTCACAGGGCTTGCTTTTGATACTACACAGTTACTTCCTTCCTAGTGTTATACTGTGTATTATCAAATCACAGTGCTTTTACACGACCTCTTAGTGTTTTCTTCTGTATTTCTTCCTAGCTAATAAGAGTGAACATTTTTGATATGTCAATTTATGCATGTATTTTTGCTTTTCAGTTTCTGAAGAGAGTAGTTTGGATGGGCTGGGATTTCTTTCGAAAAGAAATACCATTCTTTAATTTTATCTTTCATGTACAGTGATCACCTCACCTGATCTGCACAAACATGGAGAGATATGGGTTGTTCCAAATACCGATCACGTCTGTACACGATTCTTCTTTGTGTAAGTGCCATTGCTCAAATTAGTATCTGACTGCCTCCTACAGAAATGGAAGTGGTAGCTCTTATTCAGACACTTCAGCTGTCAAAATATAACACAAGTAATTTAGTTTGCTATCAACTTTGTGTAGAAAATTGTAAAAAAAAAAAAAGCGATAGTTAAATGCTCTTACCTTAGATCTGAAACAACTTTCTGTGTCTTTTTAACTGTCTCACTGTGTGTGGGGGTACGTATATGTGAGTGTGCATTGTGCAGCTCACATAAGTATGAACATAGATATGAGGGTGAGTCCAAAAGTATTACTACAGAGTTCCCGTCCTACATGCACCTGTTTATTCCAAACAAAATATGTTTGAACGTGTCTCTGGCATCAGGGCACGGCTGCAGATATTTATTTCAGTAAGACACTTGTCTTAGTCTCTCGGGGTTGCCTTTAAAATAAAGTTCTAATCAAAATGGTAGCTGCTGGGGAAATCTGGTGGGCCAATTAATTTCCATGCAGAGGGGTAAGCCCGGAAGCTCGAAAGAGTTCACCTTTATAGATTTTTTTCCAGAGGGCACAAGATTATCACGGGGACTTCTGAGGAAGCAGTTTTAGGAAGACTGCAAATTGCATTGATGAGAAAAAGGCCAGAAAAGTTGCACCAGGGAGTGTTTTTCCATCACAATAATGAGGCTTTTCATACTTGCAGGGCAGCAAGGGCTATCCTCTAAGAATTCCTTTGAGAAATCTTACTCCATCTACCCTGCAGCTCTGATCTTGCCCCTTCAGTCTTCTTTCTGTTTCCAAAACTCAAAGATTGAAATAGAGCATAATTTCAGCCCCTCAAAAATGCCAAACTGCTGCTTTGCCCTGGTGTAAGAAATCTTAGGAAAAGGGGTAGAGAGATGGAAATACCACTTGCAGTAATGTATAGACCTACTTGGAGGCTGTGTCAAGAAACGTTGTTGTTGTTGTTGTTATGCGCCACTGAGTCAGCTTAGACCCACAGCAGCCCTGTACACAACAGAATACAACACACTGCACCATCCTCCCAAATGGTCCTGTGCTTGAGCCCACTGACGCAGCCACTGCCATTGAAAAGAGCTGCCCTCTTTTTCACCGCCCCTCCATCTTCCCAAGCATGAAGTCCTTCTCCAGGGACTGGACTCTCCTGACATCATGTCCAAAATATGTGCAACAAAGTCATGGCATCCCTGCGTCTCAGGAGCATTCTGGCCTTACATCTTCCAAAACAGATAGGTTTTCCCTTTTAGCAGTCCATGGTACTTTGAATATTCTTCACCAGCACCATAATTCAAGTCTATCAATTCTTCTCTGTCTTCCTTGTTCATTGTCCAACTTTCACGTGCATATGATGCAATGGAGAATACCGTGGCTTGGGTCAGGTGCACCTTAGTCCTCAAAGTAACATCTGTGCTCTTTTAATACTCTTTTAATACTCTAAAGTGGTCTTGTGCAGCAGATTTACCTAATGCAATACATATTTTGATCGCTTGGATTGATCGCTGCTGCTTCCATGGTCCTTGATAGTGGATCCAAGTAAGACAATATCCTTGACAACTTTAACCTTTTCTTCATTTATCATGATGCTACCTATTGGTTCAGTTGTGAGGATATTTGATCGTCCTGACGTTATAACCCATACTGCGGGCCGTGATCCTTGATCTTCATCAGCAAGTGCTTCAATTCCTCCTCACTTCAGCAATCACGGTTGTGTCATCTGCGTTCTGCAGGGTGTTAATAAGCCTTCCTCCAGTCCTGATGCCAGCGCTTCTTCATACCATCCAGCTTCTCTGAGGGTTTGCTCAGCAGACAGACTGCCCAAGTGGGGTGAGAGGACACCACCGTGAAGCACAGCTCTCCTGATTTTAAATCATGCAGTAGTATTCTCTTGTTCTAGTCACACAACCGCCTCCTGATCCACGCACCAGCTCTGAATGAAAACAATGAAGTGCTTGTTCTGTAATTCTCTTCCTTTCAAAATTTTCCAGTTTATTTGGATTCACACCGTCGAGTGCTTTTCCATAGTCAGTGAAACACAAGTAAACACCTTTCTGGTTTTTTCTGCTTTCTGCCAAGATCCATCTGATATCAGCAGTGGTATCACTGTTGCACGTCCTTTTCTGAATCCAGCCTGGGTTTCTGGCAGCTCCCTGTCTGCGTGCTTCTGCAACCCTTCTTCAATGATCTTAAGCAAATCTCTAGCTTCACCTTTTGATAACTTTGTTCAAATGGCGGTTTCTGTGACTTTGTAGCAATACTTTTTGCTGTGTGTGTGTATGTTTCTGTGTGTGTTTCTGCCATTTAGTTGATTGCTATTCATAGGGACCCTATACAGGACGTTGGAAGCTATACATATATTGGGGTTGCAGATCCTCTGGTGGGTTTGAATGGCCAACCTTGTGAAAAAATGCTTACCCAACTGTGGTCCACCAGGCCATGTGTATATATGCGCGTGCACACACACGTACATACTTTAACGTTGTTATTGTTGTTAGCTGTCAGTTACAACCCATAGTGACTTTATGCACACAAAAACGAAGCACTGCCCAGTCGTGAACCATTCTCAAAATTGTTCTTTTAAGATTAGAATTTTCAAACTATTATCGTGAGAATCAATATTAGAAGTCAGGACCGAGAAAGCAGCCATCTGAATGTAGGCCAGGTTGTTGTGGCTTTTGTTGGCACTGCCCCATCCGGAGCTGCATTGACGTACAAGAGCATTATTTTTCATTCATAAATGATAAGCATCGCAGTCTTCCCTGATTTTCACTCCACCCAGTCCCCAAAGCTTTTCTCATGCCTGATCCTGTCCCGGAATGATCTTCACGGCACAGTGGAGGATTTGGGCTTCGTGCTTCTGTACTTTTCAAACGCGAAGTTGGAGATAGGCTTCATCAGCCATATCCCAGTCACTGCATCAACATATTATGCATTCATAGTACTCTGCTTTCAGCATTTGATCCATTCGCTTATTGACAGCTACTCAGAATACCGATGCTGTGGGCTGCTGGTTTTCCTTGGGGTGGCGTGAAAGCTGTCATCTTCTTACGATGCACCTGTCTAGGCTCCCGGGTCCTCTCCTCGTGGCGAGAACAAAGTGAGGGCAGCAGAAAGACGTTCTGCCACGGTTGAGTCAGACAATTGGAATTCTGACCAACCGGCAAGGTGACCTTAACTGAGTGACATAATCACCCTCAGCGTCATCTTTCTTTACAAGAAGAGCAAACTTCTATCAGTTAGAATCCCATCCAAAGAGAATCCAAATGACCCGCGCCTATTAGGATCGTTTTGGCCATCTTCATTTCAGTCACTAACAAAACTGTGGTCTGGCAGAACTGCAGATGTAGCACACAGTAAGCTGGATCTGTTTGTACTGGAGCTCTTATAGAGCCATACGGGCAAAAGATAAAGGGAGAGCACAGTTACTGGACAGTCCTTTTCAGTTCAGCCTCTTTGAAGCCATGACCTTTGGTTGAGGGATGGAAGCAGCCTAAGGTGCTCTGGGAGAGATGGAGCCAAGAGCATGAACACCTTGACTTCCATCTAGTGTCATCTGAGGCCATCAGCCAGAGCTCGGGAGCTAGTGATGTACACTGGTCGGTACAGGGTACTTCCTAGGATACAACGCTAGGTCGAGAAGAGTACCGAGGAGAATAGGAGACTCCAAAGGAAGCTATCCGGAGAGCACGGCCACGCTTACTCCAGCATGAGGATTAAGTTAGCAGAACGCAGTTCTTCATTGAAAAGCACTTCGTAAATATTTTCTTTACCTCTTCCTCTTGATCATCTTAACTGGTATCCACTGATAGAAACTCAGCCTTTCAAAAGAAGCCAGCTTCCAATTATAAAGTTATTTTATTGAGGAGGCCTAAGATTCTGTCAGAAAAGAAACTCTAAATTGCTTTTTTAGCCTGTCGTTTAATGAAGTTAATCTACCATTTTGGCTTCTTGTTTGAATTCCTATTTGTTGAGTGAGCTAAGTTAAAAACTCAGAAACAATCATTTCTGGTATACTTTCATTGATATTTTACAGAGTGTACAGAAAATTGTAGAGTTACATGTGCAGAGTGTGTGTATTTACTGCAGAGAAGGATGTCTGTATTTCATAAGGAAAAATTAAGAACAAAATAGAAGGAGCTACTTCCAGTAGAGTCAAAACACTTTTCAAAGTAATGTAAAGGGGGAAAAAAATCTATTAAGATAATGATCATTGTTTTATAAATGCAAATGAGATTTCATCCTTTTTCTCTGCACCCTTAGGAGAGAAGAGACTAATTAAGGAAAATTGATTAAGATGAAAACAGATCAAGAGGAGAATGTATTCACTAATTATTGTACATTCTAATTACAAGCATAGGTTTTTGCTTTTACCAGATACAATCACAGCCTTCTGTTGGTGCTGTCTCCCTAGTGAGTGATAACAGGAAAAATAATGAAAGAGAATAAAATGAGTTATTACACACACACTATTATCAATTGGAAACATAAGTGTTTTTTTTTCTTTTTTTTTAATGTTGGAAGATCCTTAATGTAAGAAGCTTGGTTTACTGACTAGAATAAAAACTGATGTGGTCTTATTTATGTTATTGTTATCAATATTAAAAATTAAAAGAGCTTCCACTCTTAAGATTCCCAAAGGGAAGATAATAGATATTATAGAACAGTGATTTGGTATACTAGTAACATTTCTTTTCTCAGTAAAATGATAAACACAGGATGGGAGAAAACTTGCATGGAAACTTTACAGTCCAGACTACTGAATCAGAAAATTTTAAGAAGTAAAACTGAAAGGGAGCTAACACTCTGGAGGGGTGGGGGAGGCGTCAAGAGAAAGAGGCAGAGAATGAGAAGTTTGAAAAAAAACTCTTCATCGATGTTACAAGATCAAAATTAGTAAACTTAATTAAAAATAAATGCTTCCGGAAAGATTGAATCATTCATATGTTCTGAGCAGTTTCTCGCCAATTTCTAGTGTCTGAAAATTGTCGGCAAAGTCTCATTCCATGGCTGGCCTTCATGAATGTCTGAGTGCAGTATGACCACGTGTCAGACTAAGAGCCGCTGTAAAACCAGCCAGATGCTGGGTTTAAGCAAGCGGATGTCAGAAGCAAGCAGACCTACTGTGTTCCAGTCATAGACCACAGCATGCTTCCTGAGCGTTGCAGGAGTGATTGTAGAGCTGGGAATGAACCCAGACAGTTGCTTTTTTTTTTTCTTCTTCCCTCTTTTGGAAAGTGAGATAGAATAATAAAATGCAGGGAGAGATTAATTGATGATTTTATCAGGATAATGGAATAGGTATATTTAGTGCCCAACTGAGAGATTGGAGTACATCCTTGCCCCCATCTGTGCGTGGACCAAGGAACTGAAGCACCAGGTCCAGGGGGCTGTGACTCATGCGACAGCGTACGTGGAACCAGTCACTGCCCAGTAGTGCTCCGCAGGAACGTCGTTAAGCTTGAGCCATTCGAGTTGCTTCTCCTGCTCTTTGTGGTGAAAATCTACATGTTGAATGCTTTCCTGTGTCTTTAATTTGGCACATGCAGATCTCCAAATGAATCATTTCCATATTTTGTTTATAGAATAATATGTATAATTAAAATAAAGGAAAATGGTTAAAATAAAAGTACAATTGCGTGTAGGACTTAGACAGTCATTGGTGCTCTGGTAGCGCTGACCCGTTAGTATTAGACTGCTACCTGCAAGGGGGGCGATTCATACCCACCAGCAGCTCTGTAGGAGAGAGAGCTTTCTGCTCCTGCACATCTTTACAACTTGACTCCTTAGCAGGGGGTCTGGTTGCTCTGGGGGTTTGTTTTTGTTTTGTTTTGTTTGTATTTTTGTAAGCTCTCATTTCTCTTTATCATCGCTTTCAATTTTCTGTGTGTGCCGTTTCAGGAGACTGAGTGTGATGGGAAAGGCATTAGTGTGCATTCCTCTTTGAGACCCTGCTCCACCTCCCTGGTTATCTGCTTTGAAGTAATTACTGCTTCTCTAAAGCTTCGGTCTTAAAGCCAATTTTATGAAGTAAAATTAATTCATCACCTATTCCATTCTAAGTATTATCATGGAAATTTAAAAATGAATACTCTTGGGAAATTCTTACTGCCCAAGTAAGTTAATTTCAAGGGGTAAATTATTATCTACAATGTAGTTATTTCTTTCTGAAGGACTTACTAATTGCTGTCTTTTAATACTGCCCTGGCACGTCTAGTATTCAGCTAAAGGTAGACTCGGCTGAGCTTGCGCCAGTATAAATATGTTACAGCCGCCGCTGTGGGGTTGATTCCCACTCGGCAGAACAGTGGAACTGCCCAGCTGAGCTTGTCTTATTACCATTGACCCAATCCTGACTCACAGTGACCCTCTAAGCCAGAGCAGAACTGTCCTGTGGGTTTCTGAAACTGTTAGTGTTCACAGGAGTTGAGAGCTTCATCTTTCTCCTGAGGAGCAGCTACCTAGTGAGTCTGAACTGCCCACCTTGCTCGTAGCCCAACATGTAACCACTCCACCGGCATCTTTTGCAGGGCTGATTGCCACAGCATTCCCTGGTGGACCTGCAGCTAGGTTTGGATAACATTGTAGCCATCATTGCATCACCGGGGAACCTTGGAAGATGTTATAATCAGACTCAGTAGAGCAAGTTGTGATTAAAAAACAAAAAAAGATGTAGCACTCAGTATAATGGCAATTAGGTAAGCATTCCAAGTGGTAGGAAGCGAAGTCATTTATAAGCATGTCACCAATCTGAAGCTTTAATAAATGATTGAAATAGAGTGGAGCGAAGCTAAGGAATACACTGTGGAAGTTGGTGTATTTTTTCACAGTAGGCTTCATAGCAACTGCTGTGGGAAGTGCTTGTAAGGTTAGACACTGGGGGGGCTTCCTACAATTTGGGCAATGCGTTGTGTTTGGATTAAGAACATTAAAATGCTAAGAAAAGCAGTGGGGAAGTTAACATACGAAGCTTTTTTGTGTTCAGGAAGGTGAGCACGTTAAATGCAGCTGAGAGGTATCTGCCCCTTGGGCTATGATTCAGGCATCAAAAAGCATTTTTAGGCTGTTTTTATTGCTGTCATTTTTATACGAATGTTTTTATGTTTCTGTGTTCTGTGTTTTAGCTATGAAGATGGTCAAGTGGGAGATGCAAATATTAACACGCAAGAAGGAGGCATTCACAAAGAGATCCTTCGAGTAATTGGTAATCAAACTGCTACTGGTTAAAGGACCACCATTTCATTAACATGATTTGGAAGCCTTCCTCGGGTTCAAAGCTGGATTTTGAACTGAAGAAGATGATAAAATAATTTATTGTTGTTATTATAAACAAAATTAATCCTTTGAATACTGGTTTTTTTCTTAGTATTTCTAAGTATCTCATTAAATACCTAAAATGGTATAAAATTTACCAATTGTAGGGTTATGAAATCTAGTAATAAAAGTAAAACAGCACTTAAACTGACGTTTGGGTTGCTCACAATAAACAGATTTAAAAAACAGTTTTGTGCTGATATTTTTATATTAAACTCTTTAATTGGACATTTGGTATCATATACCGACATTTTAGGTTACCAAAATAGAATTGAGGACATTTTATAATGGCATCTAAATCTATAAGATACTTTGCAATAAGTATATGGTTGCACATTCTGATGTGCTATATTATTAGTGGCATGAATCTTCAAATGTTTTAGGAGGGATGTTCCCTATTCTGGTACTTTTTCTTATACGAAAGCAGCTACTTCTTAGAAACAGTGCTTTGCCCAAAATTATGTCATATACATACCTATAGATTCATGCATCTTGCGTGTTTGTGCATATCTGTATGTATGCATACACATAAAAAACATTTTGACAACAGGGATGGTACAGGTTGACCCCAGTTCCTCATTTTGAGTAGATAATAAATAATAAGCTGTGGATCTGGACATAAGTCAAGCTGTGAGCCAAGTTCACCACTGTTCATTCATTGAAAGTATTTGCAAAGAGTTTTTTCTATTTTGGAGAAATGTCCCATTAGCTAAAATTTGGCTCTTTTTAAAGGTTATCTGAGAAATTATAACTTGGGGGCCTGGGTTCCCCCTCATAAACTAGATCAGTATTCAGTTGATCATATGTTTAAAAGGAAGGCCTTAGAATTTAAACCAACAGTGTATTTACTTTTAGGAGCCCTCGTGGCATAGTGGTTATGCATTGGGCTGTTAACCACAAAGTCAGCAGTTCAGAACCACCAGCTGCTTCTAAGGACTTAAAAGAGGCTTTCTACTCCTATAAAGAGTTCCAGTCTTGGAAACTCACAGGGGCATTTCTACTGTGCCCTCTAGGGTCACTATGAGTAGGAATCAACTGTGGCCGTGAGCTTGGTTTTTGGATGTATACTTTTAATTTCCTACAATGGAACTTTTTCTTTAATTTACTTATACCACACCAGCATTTTTATAGTTTTTCATCAAATACCTTAGTTTTTTCATATTGAGAAAGAAGACAGACTTCGAAGCTCTTTTATATTAAAAGAACATAAATAAATTTATTGAGACAATAACACCAGCTCTCAGCTTTCAGTCTTCTTCAAAAGTCCTGTCCTCATCAGAATCATGTCTGTTTTTGGGGTCTCAGTATTCTCATCCACTTCAAGTTTTAATTGACTGTCTTATTTTCCTGCATGATGTCTTTAGAATAAAACCATTTATGAAAAGAGTTTAATTAGTGAGTCTACCACATTATTCAGTCCCTGAATCAAGGCTCATATCTGATTGTAATTTATTTAGAAAGAAAAATAATAATAAAAATGTATGGTCATCGACTACTATAATGTGATAACTTTTTTTATTTCCATTGGACTAAAGTGTGAGAGCAAAGATCATGCACATTGCTAAGGACTGTAATTTAGATAATGTTTACTAATCATTTATTTTTCTTACATTGTGAGTAATGGCTATGCCACTAGTAATTCGGGGGAGGAGGGCTTGATATGGTTGAGATAGTGCTCATTTTGACATTATCCACGTAAAACATTGGTCTGTTTTAGGATTAGTGTCTCAGAATCCAAGAAATTGAAGCGATAGTTAGCATCACTGGGGCAAGACACAGTATCAAAATTTAAGGTCTGTGTCCAAATACTTGGAAATGTCATAAGGGACCAGAGGAATCCTTGCTTCTTTCTGTCCAGATTCACTAAGTCACTTTGTGTTTTACAACATTTTTGAACAATTCTATTATTGTTGTAAATGAATTTCTATGGAATATCTTGTTTGTAAATACGAAGATGCAATAGCAAGATTTTGAAAAACACTGGGAGCGCCATGGGTTTGGCTACCAGGACCATGAGGCACCCTATTAACTCGTTAAAGTACCTTTAAGAATAATGTAAACACCATGAACCTGATTTATAAAGACTTTACTTAACAGTGTAGTAATCTGTAAGGATCAGAGTGCTAGAATCTGAACTGGGAGCGTAACTTGTCGCATTCAAGAGAGACTGCTACGGGGAGCAAACACTGGTATAAGAGAAACCTGTACTGCCCCCCTACAAGCAGATTCACTGATGAGAGGAAGGAATGAAGTTGGTGGTTTAGTGCCTAGCAAACACCATGGGATAATAAGATATCTATTATGATACGAAAGTCAGATTTCCTCTGTCAGTCGAGTGAGTTTACAGTTCATAGTGAAATCAGTTGATTCCCCAAAATTATGTTAGACTGAGAGCCAATCTTTTCATTGAACTTCTGGAAATTTGGTGTATGATAGTAAATTGCTGTAGTTGCAAATATTTATTTCTAAAGAATCTAATTTTGATTCATACCATTTGTACATTAATATCATACTTCTAAAATCTAAGCAAATAATTAAAATTTAACTGTTTGAACACTATTATGCCTTGATTCAGTCACCTCAATAAAATATCATCTATTGGCTTATTCAGTGATTCCGAATACTTGATACTGTATTGTTTCTAATAATCACTTGAAATCTGTTCTCTGATGTTTTGGAATAGATAAGTTAACTGTGCAGCCAAATCATCATACAGAGTAACCCGAGCAAAGGGAATCACTTACTTTCAGTTTTGAACTAGAGAAAGAATCACCCGCATGATTCAGCTTTTTTCTTACATCACTGATTTTCTAAATGGTTTACTAAGAATAATTTGCTATTTTCCATTGTCCACTGTATAAGAGAGGAAACTGATTAAACTTTTGAAGAGAAAGTAGTAAGGTCTATGCTATAGAATGCCTCAGGTAAAACACTTGAAATTCTTTTGAGTGTGTTATTTGGAACATTTAGTCAAATATTTGATTTAAAGGGAGCCCTGGTAGCGCTGTAGGCTAAGCGTTGGACTGCTAACTGAAAGGTCCGTAGTTCAAAGCCACCAGCTGCACAGGGGAACAACATGAGGCTGTCTACCCCCCCCAGAAAGATTTACAGCCTCAGAAACTCGATACAGTGTTGCTAGGAGTCGAAAGTTAGTGCTTTCCCCACTAAACAGTGTGCCATATCTTTAAATTCACTTTCAAAGTCAATGAAGTGTAAGACAAGGATTCAAATTATTGTCCATGCTGTGGTTGTTTCTCTTTGAAACAAAGGAGTTTAGAGAAGAAAGCTCTTAATTTTTCCCACCTTACTAAAAAAAAATCTTGCATATGCAAATCCGTTAACCTTTAAATTTATAACACTGGAAGCATTTTATCATAACTTGTTGAGAGCATGAAGTTTCAGGCAGTTTTATGGGAAACTCATCATTCTTGGCATGGCTTCATCAGTTTAACTTAGCATGCCATGAAGGGTCCCGGAACGTTGGACCATATGTGTAGATTTCATGGTGGCATAGGAGCACATTTTAAAAGCATGATGATATCCTATTGTTCTGTTGGAGTCATTATAACACTACCTCAAGATCGTTTGCTAAGTTAAGTTGGGTTTCTAGTGTAAGGAACAAATACCATTTAACCGAAAGAAGTTACCAAATAATTCAACAGTCTAGTCTAGACTGTGCTGCACAACAATATCTTGGCGATGCATGGTGTGGATGTCAGAGGCACTGGTGGTCAAGGACATACAGTCATCCCTCGGTGTGCGGGGAGTATTGTCTGACAGGTACCAAGCCAGGCAGACACTAGCTTCTTAACTAAAATGGCATAGTATTTGCATATAACCTTGTACTTCCTTATATTTTAAGTCATTTTGTGGTTACTTAGGAAACAATGTAAATAGCACTTCTCACTCCTTGGCTTTTGAGGGATTGCTTCAACTATTGCCTTCGTGTTTTGCTTTCTTTAGTTTTGGGTGGTTGCATATTTTCTCTGCGCAGTTGTGTTTGGATGAACTCCTGGGTATAGAACTGGCTGATGGGAGTGGGAGCAGGTGGGGGGTAGGGGGGTGGGGAGCATGACTGGTTAACGCTCAGTGAATTATTTGATTGAGTTGCTAAATTTAAATGAATTCTTTTTAGTATTCGTTTTCTACATTTATCAATTATGTCTGTTTGCCCAAACCCACAAACAATTGCCCACTAAACAATGAAAATACCCAACTGCTATGCCAGAATTGCGGAGTAAATATTCCAGTATCTTCGCATTTAATACCTGCTAAATATTTGTCAGCTTATATATAGATTTAGTGTGTCACCCACCAAAGTTGGGGGATTGTGTTTTACATGCTATGATATATTAGGATTAATTTTTATAGGTCAAAAGAATTTCAAGTCGTTTTTAGACAAAACAGATCCAGAGTGTGAAAAAGATAAGTTGGTGAATAGATTTCATTACCCATTTACCAGCAAGTTAGTTTTTAAAATAGTATTTATTTACATAATCAACATAATTCAGTATTTTAAAAATAATTACTTTAATCTGCCCAATATTTAATGTACTATTTGAGATTTTTTTTAACGCAGCCATTCCTTTATGTAAACATTAAGCTATGCCTTTTTTTCTTTTTTTAAACCACTATACAGCCTTCTTTACAATACATTTCTTGACTTCTGTGCACAAAATAGTATTGCAACCTGCATTTAGCCTCTGGTGCCTTAGAGTTATTATAAATATTTAACAATATGTACATAATGTAAATACTGCCAAGAGATCACTAAGGCCAGATATTTTCTCTAATCACTTTCTACCGCATTTGCTTTCTATTGCTACTTAAGCTTCTTTTATTCAGCTTTGTAACAGTCCTAACATTGTAGCAATGTAAATGTTGACTTTCAATAAATCTGAATTTGTTCAACAACCATGGTATATGTGGGCACTACTTTGAAAACATGGTTAGGCCTACTCACAGTGAGTCTGCGGGACTACGTGTTTGAAGATCTCCACCAACAGAACAACGATACTGCTCTTCACTTACAACATGCGTTTCAAGGAAAATGAAAGGCACACATTGCCAAGTCAAGATTCCCCAGATAGTGCGCTGCATTGCCTTGGTTGCGTGAGTGCCATTTTAATTTCAAATTCTGTTAGAAGTGCAGGGTTTGGCCTGTGTGCTCTGTTTGGTCTGTCTGTGCATAATGTCAAAAGAAGACTCATCCTGAATTTCCTCAGGGTTTATGACATAATTATTAATTAGGAATGATTTTTAAAGCAAATATTTTATATAGTTGCCTTAGTTCTTTAGTGCTGCTATAGCAGCAATGCCTTTATCAAACCAACTCTTTGTTTACAGTTTCAGGAGGACAGACAGACGAATGGAGAGTGCCCTCTCTCCCGAAGGCAGCCGTTCTCTCCATCAGCTTTCTGCCTTTATCTTTCCTGAGCTTCTGCCCCAGACAGGCTGCGTGGGGCTTGGACTCTCTCTTCCTCCATCATTGCCTCTTGGCCTGCTTCTTTCATCTCTGACATATTTCAGGAGTTTTCCTCATGATACAGCTGACATTTACCTTGTCTCATAGCTGTAATAGAACACATTCTCAAATGTAGTAGAGTCACAGATAAAGAGCAGAGGTCAGGATTTACAATACTTGCTCATGGGGACCACAATTCAACCCCTCACCTAACCCA